AGAAATGGATCCATCGACCTATGGTCAGCTGATTTTTGACAGAGGGCTGAAATCCATTACATGGAGAAGAGACTGTCTGTTGAACAAATGGTGCTGGCAAAACTGGATATCCATTTACAGAAAAGGGAAACAAGATCTGTATATCACACCATACACAAAAACTAACTCCAGATGGATGAAAGACTTACCTGTGAAACCTAAAACTATGAAGTTCCTCAAGGAAAAAACAGGGGCAAATTTAAAAACCAAAAACCAAACTCACTGCTGTCGAGTCAGATCCAACTCATAGTGAACCCAATTCCAAGGCAGTATCAATACAGTAATAGATTGCCCAATCTTTCTTCTGAGCAGTGGCTGGTAGGTTTGAACCGCCAGGCTTCTGGTTAGCAGTCACACGCCTTAGGCACTACACCACCAGAGCTCCTATATTGTTGTTGTCATGTGCCATCAAGTCGGACCTGACTCATAGTGACCCCTCCTTGGGTTTCCGAGGCAGTATCACTATGGAAGTAGATTGCCCAACCTTCCTTCTGAGGGGTGGCTGGTGGGTTTGAACCGCCAGCCTTCTGGTTAGCAGTCAAGTGCCTTAGGCACTATGCTACAGACTGTCAAGCATAACCCAAAATGCACAAACAGCTGGAGAGAAAGTAGATGAATGGGACCTTCTAAAAATTAAATTTTTATGTGGTTCCAAAGACTTCTCCAAAAGAGTCAAAAGAGAACCTATAGATTGGGAAAAGATACTTGGTGATCACACATCTGACAAGAGACTTACATCTAAAATTTATAGAAAACTCCACACCTCAACAACAAAAAGATTAACAATCCAATTGAAAAATGGGCAGAAGACATGAATAGACACTTCACTAAAGAGGATATTCAGGTGGCCAGAAAATACATGGAGAAATGCTCATGATCATTAGCCATCAGAGATGCAAATCAAAACGATAATGAGATACCATCTCACCCCAGCACTAATGGAAAAGTTCAACAAAACAGAAAATAACAAATGTTGGTGAGGATGCGGAGAGATTGAGACTCTCATACACTGCTGGTGGGACTGTAAAATAGTATAACCACTGTGGAAAGCAGTATGGTAATTCCTTAAAAAGCTGGAATTAGAAATACCATTTGACCCAGCCATTCCATTATTAGGTATATATCCTAAAGAAGTGAGAGCTAGGACAAGAACAGACATATGCATATCCATGTTCATCGCAGCACTATTTACAACAGCCAAAAGATGGAAACAACCTAGGTGTCCATCAACTGAAGAATGGGTAACTAAACTACATTATATACACACAATGGAATACTATGCACCACTAAAGAATAATGTAGAATCTGCAAAACACTGCATAATGTGGATGAACTTGAAGGACATTATGCTGAGTGAAATAAGTCAATCAGAACAAATATTATATTAGTCCATTATTTTAAAAAGTCAAGGAAAGGTGTATATATGGAAGGAAACTTTGCTGGTTACTAGGGGTGGAAGGGGAAGGGAGGAAACACTGAAAAAAAAATGCATTGACCTGTGTCACTTTAGTTTTGTATATTTCACTGTACATAAATTATATTTCAATAAAATGTATTAAAAAAAAAGTATGTGCAAGGAAGTAGTTTTCTCACAGGCCAAGGCATCCTTTCAATTTTCCCAGTTCAATGGGCAAAAAGCCATCTTTCAGGGTTTTCATTCCCATCTGTCATATTACTAGTAAGATTTAGCATCTTCTCATTTTATTATCTATTAGTTGATTTAAAAAGAGATTTATTCTTATATAGTTAGTAACATAGCATGGTTCAAATTTCAGAAAGGTCTAAAACCTAAATAGTGAACTGTCTCCTTCCTACATCATTTCTCAGCCGTTCTGCTCTCCTCCTGGGACACACCCAGTATCATTGTATCCTTGAGTCCTTCCAGAAACGCTATCAGTACATGAACAGATTCTCCATTAATTTTTTTGGAGCTCTGTAGTATGAGTATATACTAGATTATTTCTAATCTTTCACTATTATAAAGCAATGTTTCAATCCTTGTAACTATTTCATTTTGGCCATATGCAAGAACGTTTTGTGAATACATTTCTAAAAGTGCTTCTTCTCATTTTTCTATCTTCAAAATCAATTTGTAGAAATTTTAAATATTTTTTCTTCCCTTTTTAAGAATATAGCTTTTTTTCCTGACTATAAAGTATAAAGGACAAGCTCATGGGTTAAAAAAAAAAAATTGTAAAATGCAATCTCAAAGAACATGTCCCAAATAAAATTTACTTTTCTGTCCAAAACAAGTTCTCTCACTGTCTTTCTCTCTTCTGCTGGTGACACCAACCCTTATCAATAACCTAGGCTCAAACTTGGGAGGCATCTTTGACTTCTCTTCTCATGCACCCTATAGTCCTGTTCATTTTTCCTCAAGCTGTTTCTCAAAATATCTCCTATCTTTCTCTTTTCCTATACCTTTTAAGGAGCCAGGCCCTTACCCCCATCATCCAACTAGTCTCCCCATTGCCAGTCTTCCCTGGTTGCTCCCCTGTATAGCATCACATCCCAAATGCTCCAATACCTTAACGTTCTTGGTTCCCTCACAATTAACGTTCTGAGTTCAAACTCCAAGGTCTTTGCTTATCATCCAGCTCTCTTCTGGTCATCATACCTGATCGCCATTTGCTCACCAATGTCCTAATCTTACCCAGTGAGCTTTCCTCACTGGCACACACTCACCCTTATTCTCACTACTGCCCGCCTCTCATTACTCTTCCCTCCTGAGGGCCAGGGCAAGAGGTACCTGCAGTGCACGGTGATGGGGTGGTTTCCTGACTGCTGCTGCTGCTTCTGTACAGCTGCAATGATGCTGATCATGCCCTTCCCATCGCTGGGGATGCCCACTTCAGGCCAGCCATGGAAGTGGAACTGCCGGATCTGCCGGCTCTTGTTCTCCTTTAGAAAAAGGTGGGTTAGGGAGGCAGGGGCACCTTGCTGTCCCTGTGGGAGGAGCCCCACCCACCACCCATCTTACCCTGGTGTTAGTGACCAGGAGGTCTCGGACAGTGTAGCTCTCACATTCTTCCTCCTTCTTCAGCTCTACTGTGATGTCTCCATAGGACACCAGTCCATCCAATGGCCAGTACTGGGCACATTTCTCCTGGAGGGGCAAATGGGAGAGGTGAGGGGCTCCCTCTACAGTGTGAGCTCTTTGTGGGCAGGGCTTGTCTCTTTTCAACTCTATATTTCCAGCACCTTGCACAATGACTGGCACATAGAAGGCAAGCATCTGGTAAATGAATTTGTTCAATGTCTATGGAAAAAGGGTAAAAATACATAAATAAAGCACAGTTAAACTACTCATTTTTTTAGAGCATTTTTGGGTAAGACCTTAGGTATCTCACTATTGGTCATAAAAAAATCCTCAAAAAACTACTATATGACCATAGAAAACTACTATATGACCATTAGAAAAGATCCAGAAAAACTAATAAAAAATAGAAACAGAAACACTGCTATCGTTTCATTGAAAAAAATGAGGAGGAGAGGCTCTGAGGAGTGGCTGGTAGATTTGAACCTCCAGCCTTCTGGTTAGCAGTCAAATGCCTCAGTATTAAAAGCCCATTTTACCACCAAACACGTGAAAAGATGCTCAATGTCATTAGCCACCAAGTAGATGCAAATCAAAAGCACAATGAGATACCATTTTACTCCCACTAAGGTTGATAAGATAAAAAAATTAACAAAAAACAGAAAATAACAAATACTGGCAAGGATGTGGGGAAACTGGAACCCTTACACACTGCTGGTGGGAATGCAAAATGGTACAGCCATTGTGGAAGACAGTGTGGTATTTCCTCAAAAACACAAAGAGAGCTACCATGTGACCCAGTAATTCCACTCCCAGGTATATACTCAGAAGATTTGAAAGCAGAGACTCAAACAGAGACACGTATATTCATGTTCACTGCAGCACTATTCACAATAGCCAAAAGGTGGAAACAACTTAAATGCCCTAAAATGTAAAACTAAAAGAAGTGAAGTCCTGATACACGCTACAATGTGGATAGAGCTTGAAGACATTATGCTGAGTGAAGTAAGTTAATCACAAAAGGACAAATGTTGTATGATCTCACTTACATAAAAAGGCAAAAAAAAAAAGTATATGTGAACTGCTGTATGAAAAGTGAATTTACTCTGTAAATCTTAAAAAAAAAAAAAAAAAAAAAAAAAAAAGCCTATTTTAGTGACTCTTCTTATATTTCATATGTGTATCATTCAGTAACTCCTTTATAAATGAGGTCATTTTAAAAAACAGGACTTATTAAAGTGGTGGATCGAGGAAATGCCACAAACCAGTATTTTTCCATCTATGCCCTGGGGATGTCTTGGAATGCTTTACAAATTTGCAAGTCACCCTTGCACAGGGGCCATGCTAATCTTCTGTGAATTGTTCCAATTTTAATATCTGTACTGCTGAAGTGAGTACCCTGGGGATGGCTTGGGGCTGGGGCTCTGGGCCCTCTCCTCTACCAGAGAGCTTTATATCTATCTATCTATCTATACATACAGAACATTAGTGAGTATAATTATTTTTGATTTTTGCTACCACCATTCCTTCCCAGCACTGGCTTTACAGTTTATTAGCCAGAATTGAAGACTGGGACTTTAAAACCATTAGAACTGTTAGGTTCCAATGGGCATGAGAGCACCAGAGTGAGTGAGCTAGATTAAGAGAGCAATTTCCTCAGAGGAAGGGTTGAGATCTTAATGGCTATACTCTGTTGAGAAAATGAAATCATGTTGTCCCACACTTAACAGCCTCTAGATGTTTCAGATGTTATTACTGTAGGCAAAGAGGGAAAGGGGATAGACTGGAGGGATGCTTCTGGGGACAGAGTAGGGGGAACACTGATAGAGTCCCCTCCTAAAGCTGTGGACAGGGATTTGTCGACAGTAAAAGCAAACAAGAGCTGCTGTGGCCGATTAATGGGAACAACTGCTCTCAGTGGTTACATGTGATCTAGAAGATTGTTGCTGTTGTTATGTGCCGTCAAGTCGGGAAGATTAGCACCGTTCAATGAGCTTCATGGTGACACAGCTGTTAAAGATGGGAAAACAAGTAAGGTGCATTAAGAGAAAACAAGTCCAATAAGTGTATGAGGTTAAGATTTAAGGGATGGTGTGAAATAAAGGAGCCCTGGTGGTGCAGTAGTTAAGTGCTTGGTAACTGAAAGGGGTTTGAATCTGCCAGCTGCTCTGTGGAAGAAAGATGAGGCAGTCTGCATCCATAAGATGGGCAGGCTTGGAAACCCTCTGAGGCAGTTCTCTGGGTTGCTATGAATTGGAATCCACTCAACAGCAATGTGTTATCAAGTTAAGAGAAGCCACACAAGGCTATTGCAGATGCTGGACTGATGGCAGAAAATTATCCCACTTAGTCAGATGAAAGCTACAGGATTTCTTTGAATTAGCCCTCCAGATGGCAGATGGAGGAAGCAGGCTGGACTCAAAAACAGAGCTGAGCTGCCTGATAGGCAATGGTACCCCTCACAGCCCATCTCCCACAGCCCCAGGGCCTTTTCAGACTGACCTGACCTCTTTCCTCCAGTTCTGTGAGCATCACAATGGAGCAGGATTTCCACTCCCAGATCATTCGCCAGAAGTCCTCAATCGTGTGGAGAAGAGGGCCCTGGCTGGCGATGTAAGAGTCCTTTTGCCGGTAGCCCTATACAGGTTAGGCCAATTACAGGGGCAAGGTGATTTAATCAGGGAGGGGTCAGTGGAGAACACAGGCCTGTCTGGGAGTCAGGGAGATAGGGCACTGGGAAGGGGTAAGGACTGCTTAGAGGCAAATCCATTCTGGACAGAGTTCCTTTCTGGCCCAGGACCACATCACTGTTGACAATCTGGTCCCTTTCTATCAGGGGCATAACTCAACTGCTAGAGAAGGGTGGTAGAGCTCAGATGCAGAGAATAGGAATGGGAAAGAGAGGTCAGCTTCTCAGCCCTCTGAATATGGTTTGTGACATAAACTTTCCCCTCCAGGAATCACTCTGGCATGTGCCCTGTTTTTCCCCAACCTTTTGCTCTTTTGTGCAGGGTAGGTGGGTGGGTATCAGCTCTATATATGTTGTCTTAGACTCAAGGACAATCCCTCCAAACAGGTATATGGGGGTGGGGCTGCAAGCCAGTTGAATTTCCCTGGGGTGCTGGGAGCTCAGGGGACTCACCTACCACTTACTTACATCAATGAAGGATGCATTCACGTAGTCTGTGTTCTCCTCACCCCTCTTTACTGGAATGATCACTCTGTTGAATTCATCTGCAAGAAGGACAGTAGCTTGTGGCTCCCCAACATTCCTTATCCTTTCTCTTTCCTTCTATCTTTCCTGTTCCACCTTGGGTCCTGAGTAGATAATATCCCAGCTGTATAAGGGCATGCTTGTTCTTAGCCTAGAAGGGGAAGGAACCTTCGGCCTTTATGCGCTTTTATTTCCAGAAACACTAAAGAAGCGGGAGCAATAACAAGCAATGCCTTAATTCTTATCTCCAAGCACGATGATCATGACCTAGTACCTGAGAAGAGGGAGAGATGGAGGGAACTGGGAGACTGGCTTTGGGATGGAGAGAGGGCTCTTACATGGAATGATCTGTAAAACTCGGTTCTTCTTCATGTTGGCTGGAAGGTTTCCAGTCCGCATCTTGTCATTCTGGATTTTGATTGATGTTAACTTCTGAGTTGGGAAGGGGAAGAGAAACATTACTGATCTCAGTAACTGAACTTGACAAGATTATGCATGCCACTGTATCTGATCTCCTGGCTACTTTGGCCACACAGTACTCTTTTCACGATGGCCCTGATCTCCATTTCCACATGTTCATCAGAACACTGTTTCTCCTGTCTCTAAGCTCATTGAATAAGCTAAGAGAACGTGTGGGAAACACAACCTTTCTGGCTTCTCTGGCTCCTTTTGGTATTCTCCTGGCCTGGAACTTCATGATCAAGAGACAAGGATCCTAGCATAGCAGCAGAGTGTGTGAGCACCCTGCTCTCTCCCTCCCTCCGATATGAGGTTCCTTCTTGATCCTTGCTACTCAAAGTTTAGCTTACAAACAAGCAGCATTGGCTTCATCTTAATAGAAATGCAGAATCTCAGGTCCTACTCCAGGCCTGCTAAATCAGAATCTGCATTTTAACAGGATCTCAAGGTAATTCCAGTGCACATTACAGTATCAGAAGGACTGCTAAGGAAAGTGGTCCTCCCCACCACAACCCAAAACATCTTGATCTGGGAGCACTCTTATTGCTAAGACTGTAAGGTATTCCTTAGGTATGCTGAGACCCACTGTATACTATCAAAGAGCAGCGATCAGCAACCTGCTGGCCAGATTTAGACTGCTGCCTATAAACAAAGTTTTATGGGAACACATTCATGCCCACGTGTTTACATGTTGTCTGTGGCTACTTTTGTGCTACAATGGCAACACCGAGTACTTGTGACAGAGACCTTCTGACCTGCAAAATCTAAAATATTTACCATTCAGCCCTTTATAGGAAAAACTTGCCAGATGCCTGGCACAAAGGGAAGTAAACACATAAGCATGACCATTCAACAAGATCCCAGGACCAAAAAACTAAACGAAACCCACTGTTGTCGAGTCAGTTCCAACTCATAGCAACCCAAAAGGACAGAGTACAACCTTATCTTTCTGCTTTAACCACTGTACTACCAGGGCTCCTATGATCCCAGGACAGTGATTCTTAACTCTTGCTGCAAATTATAATCATTTTTTTTCTTAATGTCATTGCCTATTTTTTCTGTTTTGTTTTGCTTTTAAAATAACACAACTCAAGGAAGGTTGAGAATGACTAGCATATGAGTAAAGAGCCAGAGACTCCCTCCTTAGCCACCTTCCCTCTCAGGGGATTCACCATTTGTGGGTAAATGTACAAGGAGTCAAACATCCCACAGTCCCCAGATCACACGGCTCCTTCAATCTGAAAACTGTGGTTCAGCTCCAAATCAAAATACAAACCTGTTGCCTTTGAGCCAACTCCAAGTCATAGCAATCATATAGAACAGAACTACCCCATAGGGTTTTCAAGGCTGTAATCTTTATAGAAGTAAACTGTCACATCTTTCTTGAATGGAACAGCTGATGGATTTGAACCGCTCACCTTTCAGTTAGCCGCAGAGTGTTTTAACCACTATGCTACCATGGCTTCTTGGACTAGCTCCAACTCACCTTAAATTCTTCCTCTAATCCATTGTTGCTGGTCCCTGGGATTTTGTTGTAAATTTTCTGCAGGTGGGTTTCTAGAGAGGTCACTTCCAGTTCTGTATCCCCATAGAGATAATGCTCCAGAAGGGCTTGGTATATGAAGACGTACTGCATCTGGAATGGGGATGATGTGCAAGCTCCCAGTTACACCCATCATGGCCTTATGACACCAGATCGCCTCCTCCCACCCCGACTTCACTCCAGTCCACTTCCCCATCAATTCCAGAAGGGACAAAATAACTCAATTTTGTTCCCATTTAGTGAAGCAGGGCTTGAAGTACATGAGTTCCTCTGGAGATGTTTAGCTTGGGAGGGAGGATACTTAGTCTGGCTTGGGCGTGCTGGAAGCCTGGAGAGCAGGACAAACCTAATTTCTGGTTATGTCAAGGGCACAGAGTCAGTAGTCTGAAAGGCTGTCAGAAACTGGAGAAACACAAAGTCCATGACAGTGGCCCTATCCTACTGCCAGCCTTGCCTCCCAGTGCTGTGCCCTTTGAACCGCCATGCCCTCACCACAGAGTCAATCTCACTGCTGCTCCTAGACATGGCCGAGCTGTATCAGTCACAACTCTATGGCATTGGCTCTCTTGGATGCCTGGCAGGTCTGCTTCCCTCAGGAATTGTTCTTTATCCTTGAAGTCTAGTGAAAATGAAACCTGTTTTCCCTGACTCCCCAGGTATGAAGTTAACAACCTCCTCTGTACCCCCGTGTTTCTTTTAGTATGTAATTTAAGGGCCCTCATCATGGTACAAGATGATCATTTACAATAATCTGTAGGTGGAGTAAATCCATGAGGTGGGCTGATGTTTGGGGCCTGGATGCTCCCACCCTCTCCTCACCCATATATCACTCACATCTGTCTGCACCATCTGGCACCGCTGAGCCCGGATCCGGCTCACAAAGCCATACACATCCACCTTTCGCTCTGTATGCATCATGTCCAGCATGGCATCAATGACAACAAAGGTACCTGTACGCCCGACACCCGCGCTGTAGCCAGAGAGCAGAGGTGTTACTGAGATGACCAGTATGCCTTGCAGGGGCATACAGGGAGGGGGTAGCAAGACTGGGGCTCTTTCCTTAAGCCTCTGATTTTCATTCTAAATGGCACAGAACTGGGACTCTCCTGGGGCTGACAAGCCTACTTGTGTCCTAATTCCTTACCTCTAACTGTCTGGACCCAGAACTGTCACACTTAGAAGGGTCTGAAGGTTGCAGGCATACAAAGCCAGCATGATCTTGGAGGACTGGCCGCCCTCACTTCCTCATGTTATACACTCCACCCAGCACCAGAGCTGGAACAGTCTCTGGCTGCTTCCCTGGGGCCCCAATAGTTATCTGCTCTGCACCAGCCTCCTCAGCCAGGGCCCCTGTGCTATTCCCCATGCTGTGGCCATGGGACAGAATGTGGTATGAGTGAAGAACAGAGGGTGAGGCCACACTGACCTGCAGTGGACGACGATGGCCCCTGCATACTGAGGGTTACAGGTCTTCACCTTCTTGAGAAACTTGAGCATGCCAATTGGGGTGAAAGGTACCCCAAAGTCTGGCCAGCTGGTAAAGTGGAACTGAGTGATGAGGCGCTGTGGCTTTCTGTTGGTCATGTCGCCCACCTGTGAAGGGAAGAGAATTCTGTGTGTTGGTCCTGCTATCCTGGAGTGGGCAGCATCAGGGGGAAAGATGACAAGCTCACGGGTCAGGGTCAGCTGTAGACATCAGTGACAATGAAGAAGGGAGAGTGATGAGAAACTGCTGCATCCAAAGACATCGAACCATGGACAAAGACTCTTCTCAGTGACCTTTGGGTCTGGCAGGTCTGCTACTATTATTCTCAGTTTACAGAAAGTAAGACTCCGAGGAGTTAAATGACCTGGGTGAGATCCCAGAACTAGTAAGTAGCGGGGTCAGAACTAAAACGTAGGTCTTCTGACTCTTGGCAAGCCCTTCTTCAGAGCACCACACTGCCCCTCAGCTGAAGGGGACATTTGCTTATGCCTTCAGGGTCACCCTGGAGGGCCAGAAGCAGGGCCCACCACGGCTTGAGGTCAGGAGCCTTTGGAGTAAGAAAGGAAGTGAGTCAAGTACCCAGAAGAGTATACCACCTAATGCTCCCTTTTCCATATCTCTTGGTTCACATCTAAGATGATCAGATTCCAAATAAACAGGTACTTTTCCTCCTAGTCATGAAAACACTGCTCTCCTAGCTTTGAAGAAGTGTCCTAGGAGCCCAGATATCTGGTTTCAGAGTCCACACCAGCGATTCTTGAGCATCCTAAGTGAGAGGGGAGGACCCATCCAGTTCCCTAAATAAGAACTGAGAAAGGAGGTAGAAGACAGTACCTGCTGAATGCAGAATTTTCGGACTGTGTAGTCTACCAGGACGGTCACATCCTCTACTGACACACGGATATTTCCATAGGTCCAGCAGCCTTGGTCTGGCCAGTACTGGGCGCACTTACACTGGAAAGAAACAAGCACCCCCTGACCTCAGACCTCCTGCCCCAGCAGAGGCAAAGAGCCTGAAAGGAAAGACCACAAAATCCCAGACTCAAGTCCCTAGAAAGCCCCATGGCCTCTTTTCTCCCTTAGTCAGCAGCACACCTGTTTATTCTAACTGTCCTTTTCAGGTTTTTATCGTGTTTAGTACAGTCTCTTCACTGACTGACATACAGTCACAGGCCCAGACTTCTTGTTTTTTCCCATTCCCACCCCTTCAGTATAGGGCAAGTCTAAAGCTATTTTACCTACAAAATCTGTACTGCCACAATGTCCCAGGTCATGCTCTATGGGCAACTCTATCTAGACCCCTGGATCCAGTAGACTGCTAGGAGAGGATCCCCAGAGTAAGACTGTAAACAGGGTGTAGACTGAAAAGCTGCCACGAGAGGCCTGAGACCTTCTCTGTTGCCTGGGCTCTGGCCTGAACAGCTTCTAACAGCCACAGCCTGGCTGGAGGAAACTAACTTAAAGCTCAGGCCTAGTACAACCTGTCTCAGGCACTGTGGGGCTGCTGACCAACAACCCGGGCACCCCAAGGTGGGGAGCAAGGTGATGCAAATGACTGTCTTGAATGGGAATTCCTCTCTAGGGTTTGATCCAGAGCTTAAGACTTGTGCTGGCTATGGCCCAGTGATGGAGCTAGCCACAAAATGAAACCAGTCACAGGGTGTCTGCAGCATCAGGTCAGGGCCTCAGATTCTCTTGTACCCTGAAGGATCTCAGTTCATACAGCTCTCTCTGTGACTCTAAGATACACAATAGGCCTCAGGAGGTGGGGTAGGAAACCAGGGGAACGACAGACTATAGAAGTCAGAGGAGAAAAGTCTTTCTGTGGCTTTTCCTTGGCTAGTGGCCCAATTCTTTTCCTCTGGGCTGTTTTGGAACAAGGTGAATTGTTTGACTACCAGAGCAGGGAACGTGCCCTTGGCACACTCCTGAGGCTTGTCCCAGGCTTTCAGGCCACTGGAACATCTGGTAGGCACATCAATCTGGGTTCTGTCTGACTGAACTACTGGCTCTGTAGTCACAAAGGGTGAATAACTCAGACTCCAACTCAGAGCTCCAGTACAGTGGTTCCTCTATGGGTCATGCCTGCATCAGGGCCTCCTGTTTAATCTCTCCACTCACCTCTTTTCTCTCCTTCAGATTGGTCACCATGACAATGGTGGCTGTGTTTTGCTCCCAGATCATCCTCCAGAAATCATTCACTGTTTCTTCTTTTGGTCCTAAAGTAGCCAACAGCAAACATGATAGACAAGATAAGGAACACACACAAAGGGGAAGAAAGATGCTGGAAAACTGGGAACACTCACTGCTGGCTTTTGGAAGCCTGTGCTCATGTTTCCAGCTAAATATTCAATCCACCTATCCATCCACCCTCCTGCCCATCAACTTTCTAACATAACATTTCCTGTGTATCTACCACGTATGTGTCAGGCACTTCACTAGTATTCAGAGTAGGAGGTTGTCAAAATATAAACAGAACAAGAATGCTTCCCAAGGAAATTATAGTTGAGGATGAGAAATCATGACAGCTCATCGCGTTCCTGTACTAGGGGCTAGACAGCAAGCCAAGTGCTCTATGGCCCATTCAACCCTTCCCACCATGCTGCTCTAAGGCAAATTCTTCAGTTCCAGACAGGTTGGGTGACTTGCTCAGGCTAAAATTCAAACCCTGGCTTGTCTAATAAACCAGAAAATAAGACATGGTAATCAAAACTGCTACAGAAGCTAAAGAGTGATTTGTACCATAAGAAGAGTATAAAACTTTTGCTCCTGAGCTAGTAAACAAAGTGGTTGTTTAGTTGAACTTGAGAGGAAGTGGAGTGAGGAAAGTTCAAAAGAAGAAAGGGCACGTAAACATGACCTTGAAATTAGGAAGGCTTTGAGCATTCAGATGTCTGGATCACACAGGCATGATGAGGAAGTTTGGGGGGGATATTTGAAAATGTAAGCTGAGATCACATTAAGGGGTCTGGACTTTATATGGAAATGGAATTTTTCCATGGAAAAGATGAACCTAGCAGCAATGTACAAGGATGGACTAGAGTTGGATGAGATAAAATAGTAAGACAGGCAAAGAACACGAGGGATGTGAGGGTGTAAACAAGGGGAGAGCAGAGAGAGCAGAGAGGGTACTGCTGAAGTGGAACTACCAAGACTTGGCATCTATTACAGATGAGAAAATAGAAAGACGTTCAAGATGACCAGTATGTTTCACCCAAGTGCTAGGGAAAATGGAAACACTGTTCTCAAAAACACAGGAGAGAGGAGGAACCAGGAAGACAACAAGTTCAGAGTTAGACATGGTGAACTTGAGGGGCAGGTGGGACACAAGGTAATGGTGCCCAGAAATAAGATGTATTATAAGATGAGAACCTAAATGAGAAACCAGGGTTAAGACTTCTGTCTCCAGGTATGGTGGAGTAACAGGGACCAAATTTACCATGGTGCCTGAAACAACTATAAAACTAGACCAAATATATGAGACAATAGTTTTCAAGACATGAGATACCAGGAGAGTGATCCCTGAGAGAGGCGAACCAAATCAGGTGAGTCCTATGATTATTCCAGCTCACTGTCTAGTTTTCAGGCTGTAGTACAAGGAGGGGGAACCCAGGTAGATCCTGATAGTCTCCCTAAGTTGAGGAAACAAAGCTGAGAATCAGGGAAGACCAAGGTGGTTAAGTTGACAGGGCAGAATAATGGAGAAGAAAGAGCTATATAAAGAGAGTGCTTTGGAGATCTGCAGAGAGTTCTCTTGGAATCTTCAACAGAATACTAATTACTGCTTGCCTGCAATGAAACAGCCTGAGGCCAGAGGGAGGAAAAACTCCACCCAAATAAAGCAGGGGGAACAACCCCTAGACTTCACAGAAGGCTGGAATAGCTTGTTTTCCCACCAGCCAGAGTTGAAAAACCTTGTAATTCATTGGGTATCAGGTAGAATACTCAAGAAAGGTATTTTCTCAGCAGTGGAAAAAAATTAGCTCTAGATTAAAGGCTACTCTCATTTCACTTAACAAAGCTTAAACAAGCAAACCCTCAAAAGGATCAAACTGTTTCCAAACAGCTGTATCCTGGAACAGAAAGAAAAAAAAAGACCTGTGGGATCCTACCAAAAAGCTTAACACAACACATGAATTGGAGGTCCAGAATAAGACGAGTGATTGAGCAGAAAAAATATCTGAAGAAACAGTGGCCAAAATCCCCCAATTTGGTAAATGAACTAAATTTACAGTATTAAGCAGCTCACTGAATCCTAAGCAATACACATACAAAGAAAACCCTATCCAGATATCCAACTGCTGAAACAAAAAAAATATAGAATCTTAAAGCAGCCAGAGAAAATCAGTATATTACATACAGAAAAACAATGATTCTAATCACTGCTGACTTCTCATTAGAAAAAATTGGAGACCAGAAAGAGTGGAACATCTTTGAAGTACTGAACAAAACAAGAACTGTCATGCTATAATTCAGTATTCAATGAAAATATTCAAGAATAAAAGCAAAATAATGACATCTTAAATAAAAGAGATTTGTTGCCAGTAGACTTGCATCATAAGAAATGCCAAAGGCCTGGTGTTCTGCTCAGTAAAGATTACAGCCTAGAAGTCTTACGTGTTGGTTCCATTCTATCATACAGGGTCACTATAGGTAGAATCAACTCGATGTACATAACAATGGCAACATAGAAAATTCAGTCATACATTAATCTATTGCATCCATGGAAACAAGAATGGGTGTTGTGAGTAGGCAGCATCTGAGCTGGGCCTTGGAAGGTGGACCTGAATTGACAGATGGCTATATTTGCTATAAACCATCCCCACCAAAGGAGTTCTGGTGGCATAGTAGTTAACACATTTGGTTGTTGACCAAAAGGTCAACAGTTCAAATCTATCAGCCATTCCACACGAGAAAGAAGAGGCTGTCTGCTTCTGTAAAGATTTACAGTCTTGGAAATCCAATGGCACAGTTCCTACAGAGTCACTAAGTCAGAACTGACTCAATGGGAGTGGGTTTGTTTTTTTGGTCTGGTCCCCTACCAACTAAAGGGTCTAAAAAGGCAGGAATCATATCCTGTTTTATTCTTCTATGAATTTTTATTGCCTAGGCCAGTGCCTGGCACATATTAGTTGCTCAATAAATAAACTCAAAAGCTATTTCTACAAGGATCCCAAGGGTAGATATATTAGTTAGGACACAGGGGAAATGTGTGTAGAGCCTGTCTAGGACCATGGCACTGAGTCTCTGTTCTGAGAGTTCCCAGACCACCTATCTGCAAATATTAGGGGTGCTCAGGGCCACGAACTGAGGGAGAAGAAGAACCAGCCATGACTCTGTGAGACAGCTTAGTTTCTGGAGACTGACACCAAATCTGAACTCTTGAGCAGCCTGGTTAGAACCTAAGTTTCCCAATTAGCTTCAAGGACAGAAGTCCTCATTAGACTGTAGTTATTGTACGTTGGTGTGTATAGCCTTCTCCACTCTCTCATTTTCTTCTTTTTTTTTTAATACACACACACACACACACGCACACACAAGGTCTTCTTTTATAGCATCCCTGGATACTAAGTCATCAAGATGAAGCTCTGCACTGTGAAACTGGAAGGCAGATTATATTTCTTTCAGGCAGTAATAATTACAGAAAAGCTACTGCATCCTGATTAATCTATTTAGCATTTGGAAGAAAAAAACTCAAACTCAAAGGGTTCTTGGTTAAGCCCACAAGTAAAAAGTAGTCATTACTTTACCTTGTGCAGCAATGAATTTGTTCTTTTCTTGGTAGCCCTGGGGAGGAAAGGAGGGGAATAGAAAAAGAAAGTGACAACCAAAAATGGATAGGAATGGAATTCTGGAGTCTGATTCCCCATCAATTAACAAAGCCTCCCTTGTGAAAATGTCCAGGCAATTAACAAAGAGTTTCTCCTAAGGGATGAACTGTGAATAGCAGGAAACAAAAGATTTCAAAACTCAAATGGACTACGTGGTCTTCTCAAAGTGAATTATTCATGAATACTGCTATATACCAACTCCTAGACCAGACCATGTTTCTGATGCTTTTTCAGCAGCTGACAATGTAGGTTTTAGTACTTAATGGATAAGAACTTTCCAAGGCAAAAGCATACACAGCAGTTCTAGGGATGAAGCTGGGCCTACATAGGAGGGGAAAAAGGTTGTTTTCTTGAGGATGCTTTGCCCAGCGCACTAAATTTTGGGAGTAGCATGTGGGTAAGATGGAGTTGCTCCCAGTATTTGACAGCAGGGTTGTCCCTTACATGCCATGAAAGAGAAGCAGCAAAGAAGCCTGGAATGCCATGGATCAGATAAGCAGCCTCTGAAAAACTGTCAACTGAAAGTAACTTTCTTTTTCAGTTTTCATGGTTTTAGTGGTGTATCTTTTCAAACATAGTATTCAAATGTGGTATTAACTTAAGAAGCTCTGGGTGATTTTGAGAATATACACAGCGAAATATACAACAATTCAACAGTCTACATGTACGGTTTAGTGATATTGATTACATTCTTCGAATTGTGCAACAATTCTCACTCTTCTTTTTTGATTTACTCTTCCCTTATTAACATAAACTTACTGCCCCCCAAGGATCCTGTCTAATCTTCCAAGTTGCTGTTGTCAACCTGGTGTCATGTAGATAGTTCTTAAAAGAGCATTGTTCAAGGCAGATCTTTTTTTACTAGTTAAGCTAAACTACTGTTTGGTTGTAAGATGACTTCAGGGAATATTTTTGGTTTAAGATTTAAAGATTATCTCAGGGCACAGTTTCAGGGGGTCTACCTACCCTCCATTTCTGTAGAAAGTCTAGAGTCCATGAGAATTTGAAATTCTGTTCTGCATCTTCCCTCTTTTGATCAGGATTCTTCTATGGAATCTTTGATCAAAATGTTCAGTAATGGTAGTTGGGTACCATCCAGTTCTTCTGGTCTCATGGCAAAGGAGGCAGTTGTTCATGGAAGCAATTAGCTACACATTCCATATCCTCTTCCTATTCCTAATTCTCCTTCTTCAACACCTGGGTTCTTAATGTCACTGAGCCATGGAATTAGCCAACCCTAGTACTGGCCTAAATCTGCCTTTGTATCATAGGAGATGAATAAATGTTCCCGTCTAGATGACTTTAGTTGAGTATTCTCTTACTTGCAGCTGGAAGCGCACTGATATTGCTATACTCTTCTGCATAATATTAACGTCAACCTGTTCCTTCCAACCTTTTTATCATAAACCTTCATGTAAGTCCAGAAATCTTAGCTGATTCGTAGCCTTTCTCCATTCTCCTTATCTACCACATCAATCATTTCTCTAATCAGGGTTCCTTTCCTCCCACCTACCAACATGTGACCATCACTACTAAACACATATACAGGAACTTCAGAAAATCCACTCCAGTGAGGATATCTGACTGCTCCATTTCTGAAGTCCATCTGATAAGCCTGTTTTTTGACCATACCTCCTGTTCTTCCATCTTTTTCTTTTTATATCCCAACTGTGCTTACTTTCTCTTATACCCTCCCTTCATCCATCACCTTTTCCTAGTATATTAGCTCATTCTTGTGGTGTAGTAAATTACATAATGTAGCTTTTCTAGTCATAAGTCTTTGTAAACTGTGGTAGAATTTGCTGTGAGCAACTGAGTAGCTCCTGATTGCTAACGTTATCCACCTGGGGTATTTCTGTTGCATCAGCATGACGTAATCTTCTGGGATGTTCGCGCTCTCTCTCAGGTGTATAGAATTCTGATGTTGGGATTGGTTAGTGGTCACTCTGCCAGGCTCACAAGTAGCCCTTCTAGAGGCAAAAGAAGTCTCTCTGACTGCTGGCTGAGAAAGACATGCTGCTGAGATAAACATGCTCCTGAGAGACAAGAGAGACACAGGCTGAGAAAGAGATGCAAGAGACACACACTGCTGAGAGACCTTGAGAGACACACACTGCTGAGAGAGACTGAGAGAAACTGTCGGCTAAGACAGTGGGCTGAGAGAAATTGAGCGTGTTCCTGAACTTGAGTTGTAGCCTGTTTCTTCCCTAATAAACCTCATAATCTTTGAGTTCTGTGTGGCCACTGCAGTGAATTATCGAACCCAGCAGAGAGGTGGTGGGTGCCACGGGAGGAATGGTTGGTGTCAGGGTTGGTGGAAGGGCTGGAGGGAGGCGGCATGTCTGGCCTCACAAGGATAGGCCTTGGGCTACTGATGGTGATTCTGTCTTTCTCTTGTGGGGTTAGAGGAGGTCAGAAGATGCAGCCTCCTTGCCTCTTTGGCAATTCCTAATACCACTTCCTTTCTCTTCTGAACCTTGGCTGATTATGTGATACAACAACTGACACTCCTTAGTCCTCTTTGTCTGGTTATCACATTCTCTGCACATCACCAATCCCAGGGTTCAGCTGGAGAAAATTACATAACTGAGGCTCCTGAACTTTGATAATTTCCACTTTAGCTAAGCCTTTAGTGCAGCTAATCATGTCTTTTGTTTACCCTTTTCAGTAGTGTCCTTTTTCACTCATTTCAGAAGTTATTCTAAACCTTCACTACTCTCAAGTCCTGCTTTTGTCCTTGGTTATTTGAATAAACTCAATAAAGAATTCATTACAGAAAAATACAAATTCAGAATTCTGATGGGAAACCTTTGGGAATGCCTGGTATGGCAAACTAAAGAATGTATTTTAAACTATTTGATTATTTAAAAAAAAAAATTCAGTCACTTAAAAAAAATGAGACTTCCCAGGGAAAATTGAAAAAAAAAAACAAAACAAAACACGTCTCCTGATCTGCAGCTTTGAAGAAGCCAACAGCTGGTAGTCAGTAGTCATTCAAGAAATAATGAGCAAAGCTCCAGTTCCTTACATTGATGAATGAAGCATTGATATAATCAGAATCTGGAACCCCTTCAACTGGTGTCAGGTGCACTCTAGAGTGGTCATCTAGAAAAAAAAACCAATAATTAATATTTCAATAAAAATCCAATTTTATTTCTTACTGTTCCTGATTCAACTAGGCCAACTGAGACATTTGTATCTATGAACAGAGACACTAACACTATTTGTAACAGCAAAAATTTGGAAACACCTCCACTATAATTAGGTGGCTAGTTCAGTAAATTAAGATCTATCCAAAACATGGAAAATACTACGCAGTTTTAAAAAGGAAAGTGAGTACTTCTGTTTATGACAGACAAATTTCCAACATATATTAGAAAGTGACAAAACAGTCATAGAGCCTTGTGTATAGTATACTAATTATATTTTAAAAAGTAATAAAAAGTTTATATCAACATACATATACACATAAGAAGACAAAAGTATCTGTAAACGTCTAGTATAGTAAGAGCTCTGGTAGCATAGTGCCTAAGGTTCAAACCCACCAGCCACTCCTCAGAAGGAAAGCTGGGCAATCTACTTCCGTAGAGATACCACCTCGGAAACCCAAGGAGGGGTCGCTATGAATCGGGTCTGACTCGATGGCACATAACAACAACAATAATCTTTTTTTGTCCTATACCCCATCAATGAAAAAATGTGAGCAGTACTTCTGACATGGATATGTGTGTGTGTGTGTGTGTGTATACTTGATAAATTATGCACATGTACTAATATATTATATACCCAAAAATACCCTAGCAAAATTTAAAAGTTGAATAAAAAAAACTAATATAAAGAGAAGTTCAACCACTTTCTTCTCACATTCCACTGAACTATGCACTTCTCACTCTGGAGACCACTGGCCTAGAAAAACGCCTAGGAGATTACAGGTAACAGATTAGCACTGCCAACACCCCTCCGCCCCCATCACTGAGCTGATTCCAACTCATTTATAACTGACTAGTGGTGGCTAACTCTGGGGGAGGGGATACGGTGAAGAGGACTGTGTTGGATTTCTTTGCAATGAGCTTTATTTACCAAACACACAACAACAGTAAACCCCTCTCTGTCTGGTCTTAGTGAAACTCCTCTGCTCTCCCCAGCCTTCTAGAAACTTTAGACCTGCCACAAAAAACCTGGTCAATCACTCCAAATGGCCTGGGTTCTCCCTGGAAGGAATAAACTCTTTCAGCCCAAGGCTTGACTCATGCTCCTGGGACCAATGGCAATACTTTTCTGCCCTCAGAAAATCTGCTTTGGTATGTAGCTTCAGGTTACATCCCAAGAAACCCTACAAACACTCACAAGGCAAGATGTTTACATATCGATTTTTTTCCTTGTTTTCTTCCTTGGAGGCGGCCTCACAGGTGGCCTGGATAGGACAAGCAGGAAGAGCCTGAAAGGTTAAGAGAAATCAGGAGTTACTAACAGGGATAAATATCAAATATGCAGATTTCTACACTAACCCTCACCAGAGAGCAAGTTTTATCTTTTCTTAGGGGGAAGAATATGGGCCCAGGTGAATATTTATAGTCTAACACAGGGAGGACATCTGTTTCCTGAACAGTCTGACAAGCTCTAGAGTTTAACACCAAAAATCCCAAGAGGGAAGATGCCCTTCCTGTTACACGAAGCACAGTATGCTCTTTAAATGATTACTATGTGGTTAGAGTCCTGTTATGATGTTGGGTCACAAAGCACCACCCTTGTAGGTAGGGGTGGGGACATAATGGAAGGAATGGGTCATTTATTTTCATGCTAACCACCACGTAAAGATGAGGAGTATTTCATGAATGCACACAGGAGAGTTCTGGATGGCCAGCTGAGTAAGGCCCGCTCTGCAGGGTTGACAAGAAGGGAAGGCACCCTAGCCTCTAGCATCATGTGGCAAGGAAGCAAGAGCTGCTGGTGGAGGGAGGATCCACAGACGTAGCAGTGAGGAAGCACAGGACTCGAGTGAAGTGATGTTGAGTCTGCAACGGTTTGGGAGCAGATCTAAATTAGCCCAGAGGTACGTGGGTACGCAGAAAGGGTGAAATAGTCTGGGTTATGAACTTAAGCAAATCCTTTAACTCTCCAGGACCAAGTTTCCTCATCTGTAAAACTAGGATAATAATACCTGCCACATAAGGAGTTAATGAGATTATCTCATGTCTGATACAGAATTCCATAAATTATTTTTTATGGGAGTGGAAATCTGAACTTTATTATTTGAACGGTTTTCCTCTTACATGTTCTGTATATTCAAAACTAAGAAAGCAAAAAGAGAAATAGTTTTAAATTCCAACCTAGACAATCTTTCTGAGGAGTGATTTAGAAATATGTGTTATGATCCTTAAAACGATTCCTACACTTTGACCTAGTAATTGCACTTCTGAGAATCCACCCTAAGGAAATAAAAATCTCTATGCTCAAATTATTCACTACATCATCATTTAGAATAACCCAAATCTGAAAACCACCTTAGTATCCAGCAGTACGGGAACAGTTAAGTAAATTATGGCTCATGTATTACTTTTCATTCATTTTTTTTTTTTAACAAATATAATTTAGTACTTAGGCACTCGGCGAGGCACAGTGCAAATGGAGGTGAATCAAACATATAGTTTTTGCCCTCAATGACAATAAAAGCTTGTGGTTGAAATTCAGATACTAATAAAACAAATACATATATAATGACATACCATAGTAAATACAATGAAAGTACAGAATGCTATTAGAAAATGGATCTGAAGGAGGCAATTCAGATTAAGGATAGGTCTCTATGAGGAAGGACAAGTGTGGAATAATATTCCAGGCAGAGGGAACAGCATCAGTGATGACCCAGAGGCTGGAAGACTTGGCTTGTATGGGGAACTGTAAGAAGAAAAAAAGAGGTTGTGGTGTAGAAAGTACAGATGGTAGGAGGAAGTGAGAGGAGATAAGATCGACAAGGTCAGATCATACATTTCCATGTAAGTTCCTGAACAGGGAGTTTGAATTTTATTTTAAGTACATGATGAAATCATCATTAAGTTTTTAAGTGGGATCCAATTTACATGTTAAAGAATTGCTCTGGCTGCTAGGTGGCAAATGGACTGGAGGGAGGCAAGAACAGAAGCATGGAGTGGAAGTATGAAAGATGATGGTGGCAGTGAAGGTCTGAGGGAATGGATGTATTTGAGACATATTCTGGAGTTAAAACTGCTAGATACGGAGATGGAATGAAGGGTAGGTAGACCGGAGAAATAAAAAGATAGGAATAAAGGATGACTCTCAGGTTCTGGTAGCATAGTGCCTAAGGCACTTGACTGCTCACCAGAAGGCTGGCGGTTCAAACCCACCAGCCACTCCTCGGAAGGAAGGTTGGGCAATCCTACTTCCGTAGTGATACTGCCTCGGAAACCCAAGGAGGGGTCGCTATGAGTCGGGGCCGACTCGACGGCAAACAACAACAACAACAACTCAGGTTCTTGGCTTTGCCAATTACACACACACACACACACACACATACATCTATATATGATTAAATAAAGGAAATGTCATTCCAAAGGGAACCAATTTTGTCCAAATGGAAGCAAGAACTTTAAGAAGGGAGCAAATGCATTTCCTGGGAACCAGCATGATGGTGGTAAGAGATATTAAAGTGAAAGACTCTAAGATAAAAGCAGGCAAGATCTCATGGTTTATCTGTCCTCACCTATTGAAGGGATTTTCCTTTCAGAGTAAAACCCTGGAGGTTCTGCATGTTATGTTACTAAGAGAGCAATTCCCTCAGCCTAAGCTGTCAAGACATAAGGGGGAGAAAAGAGCTTCCTGGGCTTGACTCTTGCATATGGAGTAGAGACCATACTTAGACTAGAGCTGCCTAATTCATCTAGTTTGCCTTCTCTTTCCCCACATAAGCTAGTTTTCCACAGGTTTCCTCCCTTGTATGGAACAGGATGAGCTGCAAGCTTCTGAAGTCTTCGTGATTAATCCAGTGGTGCTACTTTTCCTGTACAGCTCCTGTCTAGAACAATGCAGAACAGAGGCAGTGGCAGAAAAACTCTTGAACACAGTCCTCAACAAAGAAGGGTCAGGAATGACACTGACCACCTCAACGTCCTACCACCATCCCTAGCGCCCCTTGTCAAGACGGAGCAAAACTGGGTTTCCAGGTGGGCTGAGGCTCCTAAGGGGAAAGTTAGGAAAAAACAGGAGCCAAAGAAAACAAAGAGTGTGGCCTAGAAAACCATGCTAAAAGAGAAGGTTCAGACTAGATCAGCAGGGATGTGGATACAGAAGAAAGCCTATCCCTTTCGTTTTCACTCTGAAAAACCTAGCTAGCCCTTAGAATTAGGGAGGAGCAACGGAACCAGAAGGCTGTAAGATGCTCAGTTCTCTAGAAACACTAGGTGGCATCAAAGACCATTTCATCCCATGCTGGAGCACGACTAGTTTTTTTTTTTTTTTTAACAGATTTTTCAAAATTTTTTGTATTTATAAAAAACAAACATTAAAAAATTACTTATGTATTCACCACCCAACTTAAATAGAAGTTCTCTTTGGGCCCTGCCTCACTGTAGCCTTGTCCCTCTTCTGTCATAGTTTAAACCTGAAGTTTGTGTTTCTCTTTCCATTGCTTTGTCTGTAACCCATATATTCTATATCCTTAAATACTACATTGTTAGTGCTCAGTTTATTTTTCTTTTCGCTCAACATTATGTTCTTGAGATTCATCCAGGTTGTATGTAGCTGAAGCTCACTGACTTGACTTTACAGTGCTCCATTTTGAGACCAGATCACGATTTATTTCATTCATTCTACTGTTTCTTGCCATTGAGTCACTTTTGACTCAGAGTGACTCCTGTGACAGAGCAGAACTGCCCCATCGGGTTTTCTAGGCTGTGATCTTTACGGGAGCACATGCCAGGTCATTCTCCCCCAAGCTGCTGGATGGGTTCAAACTGCCAGCCAACCTTCTGGTTAGCAGCCAAGTGCTTAAGTGTTCTATCACCAGGGCTCAGTTAACAGCCTTGCTTTGAACACTAAGTTGCATGTGTTCCCTTGTGCACATAGGCAAAAGTGCTGGGTAAGGCCAAATTGTTTTTCAAAGTAGTTGTACCAATTTATATTCCCACCAGCAAAGTAAAGTGTTCTAGTTGTTATATATCTTCGTCAACATTTGCTATTGTCAGTCTTTAAGTGCAGTCAATGTTTTAATTGACATTTCTGTAATTATTAAAAAGGTTCACCATCTTTCCATAGTTTACGTCAATGGGACTTTACCTTTGCTGAAGTACCTAGTGAAATGTTTTCCCTCTTTTTCTACTGGATTGCTTATTTTTAAATTAATGTGCAGGAGTTCTTCTTATATTCTAGATACTCACCCTTTATCAGTTATATGTGTTAGAAATATCTACTGAATTGTGGCTTACCCTTTCACTTTTTTTTTGTTGCCTATTTATGAACAGAAGTCTTTTATTTTAATGAAGGCAAACTGATCTATCTTCCCTTTATCAATATCTAAAGTTTTAAGAAATCCTTTCCTACTGTGAGATCATTAATACATTTTCCTACATCGTCTCTGTGTTTCCTCCTTTGAATTTCAGTCTTTACATCATCTGTGATTGGTTTTTGTGTTTAGTATGAGATAGGAGTTCAGTTTCATTTATTCCCGTAGGCTTATCCAATTGCCCCAGCACCGCTTATTGTAAAGACCATTCTTTCCCCACCAAAACCGCAATGATACTTCTGTCATACACACGGTCTGTTTCTGGGCTATTTAATTCCATTGGTCAATCTGTCTACCCCAGTGCCAATACAAAACTGTCTTAATTACTAAAATTTTATAATAACTCTTTATATCTGGTAAGGCAGTCTCCTCACCTTGTTTTTCTTCTTCAGGAATGTCTTGGCTATTGTTGGATCTTTTCTCCTCCATATATATTTTAGAATCAGCTTGTCAAGTTCCACAAAAAACCTGTTGGGATTTTTATTGGAATTGCATTGAATCTATATATCAATTTGGGAGAACTGACATCTTTACAATATTGAGCCTTCTAATCCAATGATCCTATCTCTTCATTAATTTAGGCTGTTTTTCTTTCATGTCTTCAGTATTTTTAAAATAATTTTCTCCAAAGATTTTATAAATAGTTTAAGTTGATTCCTACATATTTTATATTTTTGATGCTATAGTAAATAGCATCTTTAAAAAATTATCATCGAATACTGTTTGTGGCCTATGCATAGAAATGCATTAATTTTCTATACTGTTTTTGTATCTAGCAACCTTGCTAAAAAAAAAAAAAAAAAAAAAAAAAAGGAATGGGGTTAGTCATGAGGAAAAGAAAAAAAAATAGGGGGAAAAGGGAAAAAAAAGTGCTAAAAAAAAAAAAAAAACAAAAAAAAAACCTTGTTACTTCTAATTTA